CGGGCTGATATTACACGTTTGGTGCCCAATAAAAGGCAACTCGGACGAAGATATATATGGGAGCTATATTTAAATTTTTACCGATTATCTCCAATTTCAATAGGGTTCGTCCTTGGGCCAAACAAATGTTGTTTGCAAAATTTCATCTAAATCGGATAATAAATGCGACCTGCATTTTGTTCACAAGAATACATGGAAAGACGGACGGACGGACGGACAGACGGACTGACATGCATAAATCAACTCAGAAAGTGATTCTATGCAGATCATCAAAAGGAAGTATGGGTCTATCTCGTTTCCTTTTGCCTGTTACAAACAAATGCACAAAGACATAATACACTGACCACCTTGTGGTGTAGGGTATAAAAACGTAAAAAATATATGAAACCTTGAAAATCTGAAAACGGTATGGGACGGTGTATAAGGTTTTAATAAAAAAAATTCTGTCAAACTGGACAAATTGATAAAAACTGGGCCTAACACGAACTGTTGGAATGTATCTAAAATGTTAATGTGGACTTTTCGCTGAAGAAGTAGCGGACACTTGCTTATTCTTTATATTTGTCATAAGTTTTGAAAAGCTGAATTTATAGCACATGTCACATAATGCAACCACTGTGCCAATCTACGTAAATACTGAAGAAAATCCGTTATCCTGTGGGCGGAATATAACGACAACATATCTTTGACTTTGAGAAATTCCTTGTGAATAAATTGTTGCAATTGAATGTCACATTCAAATGATCCTGGCAAGGTGGCCAGATTGCGACAGGCAAAATGAACGAGTTTTGAGTTGGGTACATATGTGTGTTGGTAACATTCTTTATGTTTGTAAAATATTTAACAATATTTTTTTTTTCATATGAAGAACACCTTACGCCTACATGGCCTGACTCTCTGCTAGAGACACCCACCCCTTGATAGCAATCATTAGTTCATTTCCCCTATTTAGTTCTTTACGCACGAATAGCAGTGACCCGTTTGTGAGTGTGTGAGTGAGCATTTGAAGCACACGAGTGACATATTCTATGCAAATTGGAATAGAGTTAAGAAAGAACGATTGTGACTGGAATAGGAGATGCATCTGGTTGTTGCGTGTTGCAATTTTGCAACTGAAGTTTCTAAACTTACATTAGGATATGCTAAAGAAATTAGCAAAATAGGGGTCAACAATTTGGGGGGTTGGGAAATTCCTGTTGGGGATGAAAACTTTTTGAGAGAATATAGGGAAACCAAAAGAACCGACTTGCCTAGAGTAGAAATTTAGATTAATCCTTTATATTTCCTTGCAGGGATTAATTTCATCATTTCTGAAAGGAGAGGGAGGGTATACAAATTAGGCCCGGTCGAACTTAATGTCGATTTTAGGAAACACTAAATATTTTTTTCATCCTATTTCCAAAATTCCATGTCGCGAGGATGTTATGATTAAATTTTCAAATTATTCCAAATATAATAATCTCCTTTGCTTATTTCATTTCATGAGATGTTACACTGAAGAGTTCGTGTATTTTATCTTAGCATTTCATTTAAACACTTTCCCCAACATATGTTTCCATTTGTTCATTTCCTTTGGTTAAATAGAAAATTTTAATGATTTTTATATTTCTGATTTTGTGGTTTTATTAGAGCTGATAATGAGTTTCGATAGGAAGGCGTAGGCAACTGCAACCACAACTGCTAGGAACTTTTCCTTCAACAAATAAATATGCTTTTGTCCAATTGACTCACCCCCCACTCTCCGGGGAAAAAAGTTAATAATGTCGATGAAGTATGCATTCGCATCGGCGTCGAGAATGTCAAGCATATTTTTGTTGGAAAATATATTTCCAATTCATGAATAAACGTGATGTGTGGGCGTTTTTCGAGTAGTTAACAAAGAAATGTTCTTCCTTTGGCATTTACAGTGACTGAATATACATGTGACATCCAGACTCACACAAGCAGCGAAATGCATAAATTAGCTGCATGGAATTTTATTTTAAGAAAAGCTTTAAATTTTATTGTTTTATCTATGAAAAGATCTATTTATAACTTCTAGATTTGGTTGGGAAAGTGTAAAAGGAGACGGGAGGGATGCACATATTCTTCTGATGACCCTTACCGAATCACATTCCAAGTAGTTTTTTGTATAACTTTTCGTCAATCTTTAGCCCAGACTTTCTAGAAATACTATGCCATAAAATTCAATTTTTTTTCATAATTACAGAAAAAAATCATTCCATTATGATAATAAAGTCAAAAATCGAAATTGAATTGTTTAGCGGCGATTTGAAAATTTACACCACACAGTAACCCAACTAGATGGGAAATTCCACAATTTTTTAATCTTACGAATTAAGATTCTTGGGAGTCTCTCCATTTGTGTTACACAAAGCCTTCACCAATATTACTGATACAATAAAAAATAAGAGGATAATTATGGTCAAATATTTTAACCCTCAAATGTCCCTAATGGGGTCTTTTTTCAAACTATGGTTAAAACTCCATTTAAACGAAATTATAGGAAGTTAAATTATTCTACAAAGTTATTTGTCATAAAATGCTATTACAGGTCCTGGCATTCATCAAACGCCAGGAAGTCATAAATGCACAGTTTAGGGTCAAAGCTGTACTTCATTTGAAGTTGAAAATAAAATATTCTACATGGTAATATTCATTATTCAGTGTTGTCAAAAAATTCCTAATTTTTCTTTTTGATAATTTTAAATTAACTTTTTCGAGGCTTTTTATTATATTTTTCTCAAAAAAAAAAAAAAAAAAAAAAAAAAAAAAAAAAAAAAAAAAAAATAATAAATAAATAAATAAAAAATATTTTTGAAAATATGATTAGAAATCCTTCTTGTGTACTGTTACGTTAAAACTGTTTTTAGTGTCAAAAAAATGTTGCTGTAAATATTATTAAAATATTAGTTACAGAAATGGCGCCCAACGAAAAATTAGGGTTCACAAATTTAACTTTCTTTCAACTAGTGCCTATTTTATGATTGTTATCATTTAACTCATACCTGATTCGCTCTCAGCTCGTATTAATCGACCGTGGCATCAGAATATATGCCGAATATTATTGCGAAAATATTCTGGAGGGTGTATTAAAGCCTTGGGCACGCAAACATCTTGGCCGCAGACCTTGGACATTCCAATAGGACTCAGCACAATCGCACTCAGCACGCGTCACCCAAGAATGATTACAAAATGAGGTTCCTCGCTTTATTCCAGCGCAAAATCTCCAGATACCAATCCGTTGGACTATAGTGTCTGGAGTACTTTGGAGAGCAAGTTTGGCACTAAAAAATACCAAATTGTCGATCACCTCAAGCAAGCGGTTCGCCAGGAATGGGCCAGAATACCGCAGAGCAACATTCGGGCAGCGTGTGACGGTTTCATTGGTCGTTTGAAGGCTATAGGTGCCAAAGGTGACCAATTCGAACAAATCTAAACTTATTCTAAAATTTTAATGAAATTTAAAAAAAAAATGAAAAAATTATGGCGTTTGACTTTGTTGCAGTTTTTTATTTTACCCTGTACTATAATCCTTCAAAAAGTACCAAGTGGTACTAGATTTGGTATTGGATGAAGGGATAGGTTTAAAACTTAAAAAATTTGTTATTGCCATAACTTTGGGTGTCGAGGATTGAGATATGAAGCGAATTTCCAAATGAGTTGCAAAATTATACGAAAAGTACAAAATGTCAAACTTGGTATTAGGTGTATGTAAAGGGGTTAATTTCTGATATTTGATATTAAGTTCATTGTTGGAATCTGGTTTTGGGATCTGGTGGAGGTTTTGCAAATGTGTCCTATAATTGTTCAAAAAGCAAATGGTACTAACTTAGAAGTCCATGGACTTTATCTTAAAATGGCAATGATATTCTTTTAATATATTGATTACACACATAGATGACCTCTGTAGAGGCTCAAGGGGTCTTATAGATGACCAATATATCATTCCTATACGCCTTCTCGAAGAAGGCAGCAAGTGATCAATAGGTTTTCTCATAGAAAACCAATACGTACCTTCAAATTCAAATCCGATATGTCTTCTTATAGAAGACCAAAAGCACTCCCAAATGGCCAAAAGACCTTCTCACAGAATATCAAACTTTATTCAACCTTTTCTGGAAATCTTAATTTTTATTTATTTATTTTTTTTTTTGAAAACAGAAAAATGTCTGACAAATTGTCAAACGTTAAAGTATATTCCAATATTATTTTCCTTATGGCTCTGTATTTTCAAATTGGCGCCATTTCAATCCCACCACTCGCTATTGCATATTCCCCAATCTGTTCCCATTCACTCATAAAATGAGGAAACTCAACTCTGTTTCCTGTTGTGTGGTGATATACAAACAGGCACACACTCAAAAGCAAACAATGCCATGAATCACTCACACACACACATATCTGCAAACACTTCAAATGTGTGGTGGAAAAGTGTGTGGGTGCCAAACGTGTGGTAGTGGTGATTGTGGAACTTTGCCACATCAAACAACAAGTAGTTGTAGGAATAGACTGTTCCCAGCACTTGTTGCTAAAGGAACCTCATGACGATGAGAGATAATTACGTTGTTAGTATTGGTGGTGGTGGTGGCGGTGGTAGTGATAAGAAAAAATACGGATGATGGAGGGCACAGTGAAAGCTAGATAAAGTAAAGCTATGCGTAATGATATCTATGATGCGGTGGTAGTGGTGCTGATGGTCGTCGTCGTGTGTGGTGGATGCTATTACCAAAGAACACTTCTTGGCGTAGTTGTTGTTTCTGTTGCAAATGAGGGTGGTTGTTTATATTGTTGTAGTGTAGTTAGCGTAAAAAAGCAACAGTGTTACAAGCAATGACAATCGCACGCATACACACACGTATACTGCCATACTTCACCATTAGACGAAGTCGGTGTGGCCACTGTTCGTTTAGAACAACACCAAACAGAACGGCAAATGACACAGCATCGCATCGCTTCGCACCGTCCCCATATAAGAGCCATGGATGTCAGCAAATATTCTGCAAAAGTTAACCGACATTTGACCTGTGAACAACACGACACAACAAAACACAAAAAATCCTCTAAACTCCTTCAATTGATAGCTTAACTGTGAAGTGGCAAGAAATATTCTGTCATTGGCAAGTGAAGAAAAAAATATAAAAAAAAACAAAAATTCGAGAAGGCGAATTTGAACTGGTTGCAGTTGCTCGCCCGAAATTGGTTTCAATTCAAACGAAAAGTGTTTTTGGAATCGCAGTTTTTTGCAAAGTTTACAAGTTAAATAAAAATAAAAATTTATAGTAAATTTTTGAAAAGTTAACAAACAATTTGAAGAATTAAACTCGGGTTTCAAAATTAAATAAAAGTAAGTGATTTTCTATTTTTTTTAGAATTGTTAAAATAAGGACCAGTACAAATTTCTTTTGTGAATAAAAAAATAAGAAAACTTTTATAAAATTATTGTAAAATTAGAAAATACTTAATAACATTTAAAATGTTACGAATATATTTTACAAGTGTTTCAAAATCTACGAGAAGATTTGTTATAAAAAATAAAAAAAATAATAATTAGCCCAAATATATTTGAATTTTCAACAATATTTCTTAATTTCGACATTTTAATTATTAGTAACAATTCTTTAACAAATATTGAATTTTATAATCTACCACATCCAGAAATATTGAAAGTTGGCAATTACAAAATACAATTTGGCAATAATTAAAAAAAAACTTCACCCATATTAAGAAAATATTTAAATCCCAATTTCTAGAAGTGATTGGCATCCAAACCCGTATCCAAAAACTATATTTGTAGAAGACTCCATAAATGATATATTTATTATCGGAACACAATTCTAAGTCGATAAACGGATGTCTGTCCGTCTGTTGAAATCGAGATAGAGGCCAAAACTAAAATAAATAATATTTGGCGAAAACGATAGGTTTCATATTTAAAATTGGCTATATCGATTCATAGAACTATATATGAATCGTATAGCCGAAATATAATGGTACCAAAATATACAATATTTCGGAGCTAAATATCTCCAAATTGTTTTCCAATGGTGGAGAGTATAAAAGGGCAAAATAAAAAAAAGAAACTTCGATATATATAATTGAAAAATATAAAATATATGAAAAAATATTTCCAATCGTCTACACATTTTATATGAAATTTATATATAAAATTTGCCAAATTTGAAGGGAATCGAACACTCACATCCAATTTTATGCAAAAACATAAATTCCGATAAATTACATATTCATATCAGATTTCTGGTTAAGAGAAATATTTAGATATAGCAAGTAATAAAGAATCGCCGACTTGTTTCGCAAGTTATGACAGATATAAGTATTGGAAATTGTGACCCTTTCATCTTCAGAACAGATCTTGCATTAGCGAAAATATTTGGATGTGCGAAATTAGAAGAGAGTTGGATGCTTATTTCGCTTACTTAAAAAAAGTACTGCAACAAAGTCAAACGACATAATTTTTACATTTTATTATTTAACATTTTTATTGATTTAAATATTATTTATTTTAAAGCAAAAAAATGTCGAAAATATCATCAAATTTTAGAATAAGTTTAGATTTGTTCGAATTGGTCACCTTTGGCACGAATTATGGCCTTCAAACGGCCAATGAAATCGTCACACGCTGCCCGAAAGTTGCTCTGGGGTATTTTAGCCCATTCCCGGAGAAGCGCTAGCTTGAGGTGATCGACAGTTTGGTATTTTTTAGTACCAACCTTGCTTTCCAAAATAGCCGAGACACAATAGTCCAAGCGATTGTTATCAGAGATTTTGGTGGCCATTGTGCGCTGGAAATAAATCGAGGAACCTCATTTTGTAAGCATTCTTAGGTGGCGCGTGCTGAGTGCGATGTTGCTGAGTCCTGTTGGATTGTTCAAGGTCTGCGGCCAAAATGTTTGCGTGCTCAAGGCTTTAATATACTCTCCAAAATATTTTCGCGATAATATTCGTAATTTATTCTGATGCCATAGGTCGATTAATACGACCATTGGCTGTTATGGCGGCCCACACCATCACCATGTCCCGCGCTTGAGTTCTGCTGGCCAACCGAAGGTGCACTTTTTCAGCTGACCTCTTTGGCAATTAAACACGATCATTTTATTTGTTTACAAACTGCTGGACAACGAATGTTTTCTCATCGGAAAAAAAAAACAAATTCGGCAGTTCACCACTTTCGGCCAAGCGAAACAACTCTTTAGCTCTTTTGAGTCTATTTTCTTTCCGTTGCGGTGTAAGTTCTCCGAGCTCATTTTCAATATTTGCCGAATGGAATATTGCGACAGCAACTCTTAGCTCTTTTGAGTCTATTTTCTTTCTGTTCTACGGTGTATGTTCTTGCACTTTTTGGAATTTCAATGACTTTACATCGAGCTCATTTTTTAATATTTGCCGAATGGAATATTGCAATGTGTTCACCTCACGAGCCATTTTTCGGTCACTTCGACACGGGTTTCGATCAAGTCGCTTCCTTACTTCTCGAACCGTTTCTGCTGAGGTTGTTGTTTTCTTGCGTCCTCTTCCTTCCGTCCACATTGGGCTATCCTACCAGTATCACGGTAACGAGCGATAATACAAGACACAAAAAATGTGTTCTCATTGAAATGCTGGAGTGCTCTAACGATAGCCACTTGTGGTTTTCAAGCCAAATATAAAGAAATCACACTATCACGCTTAAATTCCATCACGAATAACTTTTTTTCTGGAAAATTTGCACCAAAATGTTTTTGTACACTTGTAAACAATATAATGAGATGTCACTGGAAAAATTTTAACAGCTGTCGGACGAGTGGCTTAGAAATGACAGCAGTCTAAAGTTGCTTGCAGTTTTTTTTGATCTCACTCTGTAATTCGGAATATTAATCTGGGAAAGATTACTCCATACATCATCTGATTTTTATATTCTACAACAAGATTTTGAATTTTAACATAGGATTTCTTCCCATCTGTCGTTATAGAACTCATAATTGTTTTCAATGAACGCGAATATTTTGGCCGAAAGCTTGGCTTAAGAAATAAACCTTATTTTGAAAAACAGTCCATCTCAGTAGTAATTAGGACATTATTCATAATTTATTGTTTCGTTGACTGGTTTTATATTCGGTCAGTTTTTTTTTCTCAGTACTACTATGGTGGGGTAAAGCTACTAGATGATTTCAATATTTTTTCTAAGTGTGCCCGACTTCTGCCAATTTTGTGTACGTATTTGTAAATAAAAACAAAATATTTTCAAAATCAGTGATTGGAAGAAACTTAAATTGTGGGACGCGCATTAATGATATGCACCAGATTTGCCACGGAATTGAAAGGTGGAACACTTAGGATCATATTTTTTAAAGGGAACATCCAGGTATTTTATTCATCTTTCGCGCTATTTTATTCATTTTAGAAAGGAACAAAAAAAAAAATCAAATAAATGAAAACAACTTGTTGCCTATAATTTTAAATAATCCTGATAGGAAGCGGGCATAGCCTCTGGACTGTATTTCCGTAGTTTTATGAAGCTGTTCTACCTCCTTATTGTACCATGAGTACTACCTTTGTTATGAAAATGCGTTTTTGATTGGAATTTTTGTCACTAAAATATGTAAATATTTTCCTTATTTTATACAGGTATACAGGTATTAATTCATACTTTGAATACCGTAGATATTGAATAAAAACCAATAAATAACCATAATTCATGAGACTTTTTAGGCACTATCCCGCCACTCTAAAAATATATATTTTTCTACCAAAATTTCCTAAAAAAATATTTTCCAGATTGTACATTATCATTAAAGTAATCGTTTATAATTAAGTAATAACTTTACATAAAATAAATTATCGTGTCTGTAACGTGACATTCCATACAGGTTGTATTTACGCATATTTTTATATTGAAAAGATTTTGCATACATGCCATGAAAGTCCTCTCAAAATGCCCAAAATCCTTTGGGACCGCCAACACATTGATAATTCAAAAGATATTTGCCAGACAATATTCGAACACACACTTGCTATTCAAAACATATCAGTGAGGTGGGAATACGCTTCAAGCGGCTATCTTTTCCAATACAGCATGCCACACATACATAGGTTTGTATTCTTCTATTTTATTTTGTTTTTATGTTGGCGTTTACTTTACCTTGATTGTTTTCGCCATGGAATGTAATTGCCCAAAAACATATGCTTTGCAAAACAAACCTTGAAGTTTTTTTTTTCTATAAAAATCTCAAAGTCTTATTACGTGTATTGAGAGAGGCAGGATTTATTTTCCTATTTTTTTTTTAGTTAAAATACTGGCAAATTGCGTCATAGTTTGTGTTGAAATAAAATGAATGCAAAATCACAAAATCACTAGTGTGTGGGAAGTCGCCAATACTATTCATTTCGATGAAAGAAATTTTGCAAATATCGAAACTAATGATGGATTGCAAAATAGCGTAGGTCTTTTATGCGTATACGTAGTTTAAACTCACTATTAAGTATACGCAGGAGGGCATTTTTTAAGAATGATAAAAAAGAAGTAAATCGTATGCAGCCAATTTCGTTCAAAATTATACAGGGTGGGAAAATATGAGGTAGGCACATGAATATAATATTTCAGATGCAAAATTCCTTTTGGGAACCTTTAAAGTGGCATTTTCTGAAAATTTCATGGAAATTCGTATAACTTAATACAAAGGGAACTTTAGGTGTTATAACGGACTTACATAGGGTAAATAGGATTGAAATTTCTATATAGACGCACAAACAAAGTTTTCTCATTATTATACCGTTAGTGTATAAATCATTTGATACGGCCAAAACGAGCCTTATTGAAATAAGGGTTTTAGATCTTAGGTCTCTTTGGACCAAATTCGTTTCAGGGCATTTGGAGTCGATCTAGTGATGTCCATTCATTCGTCCATCTGGTTCGTGCGTACGATAACTCTCAAAAGGAGTTTCCCGTTCACTCCAAGCTTGGTACACCGTAATATTATTATCAAACTTAGCTCGCCCTTCTGGTACATCCTCCACAAAAGGTCGAAATTTTCAAAAAAAAAAAAAAAAAAAAAAAATATTTTGCTGCACAGAGAGAGAAACGATAATCCGTTTTTTTTTTTGCTCCAACAAAGGGTTAAAATTTTGAATAATTATAACTCTTATAAAATGTGATGTAAAAGTCCGATTGTCTTCAAATTACGGACATCAAAGTATATATATTTTTTTTTAACCCAAAGTCTGGTGTGAATATGATATATATCGGTCCACTCCTTCTGGTACCACCCCCAAAAGAGGTCAACATTTTGAATATCCAATAAGTTAATAAAACACGAAATTAACATCCGATTACATTCAGACAATATTTCC